ATTGGATATTTCCTTCTATACTTTTTAGCACGTAGCTATTTATTATTAGCATTGTTCTTCCGACGTCTAATTTCTTTTTAATCATAGGAAATGCGTTTTTCTAAAATACATAAACTTTTGGGATTGACTGTATAGCCGATACATCCTTAAAACGTCTAGAACCATTGGTCAAGAAATTAAACTGAGTATAGTGAAACGATAAATGAAGAGGCAAACAATAAAGTTCACCCATTCATAGTCCTATGAAATAACGGAAAATAATGGTTCGACTTTCATGCAATTTTATTTCATACTATTTAAATGAACGAGACATTCCGGTTGGATTTATAGTCGTTTCTCAGTTCTTAATTCTCAGTTGTCAACTGTTTATTGCATATCTATGTGTTTCGTGATACATTAATAAAAATCCAGGACATATTTTTAAACGTTCTATTTCATTATTGATCAACGTTTAAAAATATATCCTCAACTTTCATTAATCATGCATCACGAAACACATTGATATGCAACAACCAGTTGACAACTACGAATTAAGAACTGAAAAACGACTATAAATTGCAGTTTCAGTCACTCTTCGGTCTATCCGTATATCGTACGACCTAAACTAGCGAAAGTGTTAACTATAGATATAGAAAACTTACCAGAACGTAGACGGCAAACGGCATGACGAGCACGGCGACGAGGAGATCGGCGACAGCCAGGCTGACGATGAAATAATTGGTGACGGTCTGGAGAGCCCGTTCCCGGACAACGGCGAGAATGACCAAGACGTTGCCGAAGAGTGTTAAGCAAGGTACGATCACGAGGATCAGAGCCCACCAGCTGTTGGTTTTCTCGTCCGTGTCGCACTCGCCAGGCCTGACGGTGTCCCCGGACCCGATCGACGAGCTGCAGTTCACGGTTCCGTTCAGACTCAAATTCGCCCCGCCGTCGTAGTAGGCCGTCAGGTTAACGAACGCGCTGTAGTTCAATCGGTTGATGTAATCGTTCAGGTCCTCGAACACGAACAGGTCCGATATGCCGGTGTAATTGTCGGGCGTCGGCGAGAAGGACGACGAGGAGAACGAGCCGACCGTCGTCGTCGACTCGTTGTACCAACCCAGCTGCTCGACGCTCAACTGGTCGGTCGGCTGGTCCCTTGAGAAAACGTCGTTGAGAACGGTCTCCTCGCGGACGGCCGCGGTGTCCTTGGTCTCGTTACCGGTCAACAGATCGGTTCGGTCCAGCCCCATGTTCCCCACGATGGACCCGACCGCCAATGGTTCACTGTTCGTCCTCGCGCCCATTTTCTACCCGGATCCGGAAATCGTCGATGCCGATCACGAGATCTTCAAACGCGATTGCACTTGTCTCGTTCCTTCGATTTCGTCCGGCATTCTCGTGGCCGTTATCTAAGCTTTCGGTTTGCTCGCGCGTCCCGGGAGCCGATAAGGGTTCCACGGGTCTGCGCACGCGAGGGACGAGGTGCTGCGGCTGCCTTCCCACCGATCACCGCGTATCATTGGAATCCCTCGCGGAGAATCTCTGTAACGGAGAACCGCCGGTCAGCGGGACTCTTATCCGCGTAACGGCGTTGTAAAATGAAAACGTAAGTTGGTTCGCGTGCCCCCGGCATCGGCTTGTATCTTAATTTTACTTCCGGTACGGTAAAGCGCGCGGCGCGACACGGAACTAGGGGTGGCTCGAACACGGCTGGAAAAAGTTTGATTAAACGTAATCATGGCCGGTAACCGCCGCGATCTAACGAGTTTCGAAAGCGCGGTTTCAAACTGAACAGTGGATTAAGCTCGGTGGAAAAATGGGGAAGGGGTTAAGAGATTATTACTTATTCGGAACAGGAGTGTCGCTAGAACGACGATAGGATCTTCATAGCTGTCGTCACGATGAACAACTTCGTCGTTATCTTTTTTATACAAGATGGAAGATCGATGAATCATGAACGAGTCGTACTGGAGCAATTTCAGAATTAAAGGAAAACTGCTCTTAAGGTCAGCAGTTACCCTCATCGCAGAAGTGAAAAGGACTCCATGGGAAGTAGAGACGGAGTGACAAATGGATAGAAATTACAAGTGTTCCTCCTGTAATGGGAAAAAAAGGGACGCAGACGTCTTGGGTCTCGGGGTCCTCCCGTGGGAAGCGCGGGATCCCTCTTAGAGACAGGAATCATCTCCTTATCCCTTCGGACCTTCCGCTTTCCCGGTTCTACATACACTTAGCGAGCCGAATCGACTCTATCGTGAGCCACTATCTTTTGAACTGTCCCGGGGTGAGTACCTACCCTACCCCCCCTGCGTGTTTCTGGAATATATACGGGTGCAATGATACGACCGCGTCTCTCCTTTATTTTATCCGAGACACACGCGTCATTTCGCCGCTTACTACGTATCCCGGCGACTTCGCGTGCCTCGTAGACATTGTAAGAAAAGTTTATCGCGGGAAACTGTTGTGTCTCGGTGGCAAATGTCAGGAAAATAATGACGACATTTTGAGTAACTCTCGTGACGCGAATATCTCAAAAGCGTATCTTGTATTCAGCGAAGATTTCTAATGATAAAGTGAAAACGACAGAGAATGACCAATTCTGGACCGGGTGGAAAATTAGTATCATTGCTCTCTGTCCTTGGGATTTATTCAGACGCGTTTTAAAATACCCGTAATTAATAGCAATGGAATGATATGCATTTTCTTTGAATGGTTCTTTCGTCGTCTGAGTAACAACGCGGTGATACCTGAATATGGAAATATGCAAAACGACGTTATAATTCTGAGTGAAGAATGCGGCGTTGAAATTTCGTCTCGCGCGACAGCTCCGGCATTTACCCGGCCGCCCGGCACCTTTTTTCATCCTCCTTCGCGTTGTCTTTATGTAATTACGCGCGTTATATTCGCCCGGCTCGCGTGTAAATCAGAAGGACACACGTTACCGCCATTAGCTTTTTCAACAGTGAAATCGTATATACAAAGGTTAATGCAGTGTAAATTTCCCACCGAGTCACGTCAGTTCCCGCGCCCCGTTCCAGTTTACTATCTGTGTACACGTATCTGCATTCAAATTTAATTCGCGATCGTAATTGTAATAATTCTCTGAAAAATTCAATCTATAAAATGCTGTTTCTTCAAACGAAACGATTTCTGTCTTCCAAATATTACGACAACTTTTTAGCATTGCTTGTACATGTCAGAGAGATCGGGAAATAGGCGAAAGTAAATATGCAGAAAATTCGTAGAGTTAATTCAAATTCGCAAGGACAAACTTACGCGAATATCGAGGAACGTATCCAATACTTATTCGCTCATGCTCCCGGCATTTTCGAGGATTATACCTGCGAAGCATTCCCGAAGGTTGCGTTTTATCCCATGGATTTCGGGTCTTTTATAAAATCGCGAACGCATGAAGAGACTCTTCGCGGATGATCCAGTGGCAGCGAGAAAAGAAACGTTCCCGTGTTCGCAATGGGAATACAATATGCAATTCATTCTGCGTAGCCGACGCGACGGTGAATTCCGTCTCGCAAGAAACGAAATCGCTGTACTTAAGATTGATCGTTCTTGCAGCCGGAGAAAGGCGTCCGGTCGCTATGTATCAACCGGTAAAAAGATGGCGACTGCGACTTAGATTAATTATCAAAATAATTGTATAATTAATTACGACACGATTAACAAGAAGTTCTGCCAAGAGCATTGCAGTAGCTTCAGATCTTTTTCACGGTTTCGTAGTAGTTCTCATTTCCACGATTGTGCGATCTTAATTAAAAATGGAATCAGTTGTAGGCGAACGACGTAGTTCGCAATGATTGTCGAAGACTCGTGTAGAATATGCAATGATTGCATGTGCAACAGGTAACACGCACTGTCTTACGTCTCGGAGCGAATGCAAATTAATCATAAATCAATAACAAACACGCACTGCCCCCAGAGATAATTAATTAATCGAAAAGAGGAGAATTAAATTTCAATCATCTTTATATTCGTCGATTTTTATTCGTTTTATTATATTTCTGGTACCGATATTAAAAACTGAATTTAATTAACAACGAGGTAAATAAATTGTGCCCGCCCGCTGCAGCATCGACGGAATACAAATGTAGAAACGAGGACTCGGGAATCGCGCGATAAAAAGGAATAAATATTACACGGATATTAATTCGAACGATTGGCTTATCAGGGATTTATAGGCGCCATTAAAATTCGAAAGCCAGTGGTACTTTCCACGGAGCGTTTAGCGTGTGTTGTTAATGCACGAGAAAACAGATATTTTGTATTCCACATGCATACCGCGATATTCACTTCCCCTTTCGCTGCCATCCCTTATTTATATCCCCTTTAATTCGAGCGTCTTTCGCTAACTAAGTCGGACCGGGTCTCGTTTCCTCTACTCGTCAAATCGCGGTTTAATTGATAGCAACTAAGCTCTATTTAGCAATTCAAATCGCGCACGCCTCCATCCTTGACACGCCTCGGCATTCCTCGGTCAATAGAATCTCGAGTAGAAAATAATAATTGACACGTTTAAGATGATCACGCGGACTGCGCCGGTGTCGAGCATTATTAAAACGTTGAATATCGCGGGACAGACTTTATCGCTGGGATCGCGACGGTCTGTGATAATAACGTGAAAGCTCGAGGTTCAACGATCGTTATTCTTATCTACCGTCTTCGTTGATTAAACGATTCGGATGGGCGCTTACCATCGATCACACCTGTCACACTTCCGTCCCGTGGCCGCGTTTATCCATGATTGTCCATCGTCGATAGTTTAACGGGACCGATTGACTAGCGCGATTGAACGCAGATCGGATCGCGTTGACGACGCGATTTCCCCCGGCTTATATCGGGGAGAGAACGCAGTCCTCCCGATTAGAGGTCCACCGGTTTAAATCAGATACCGATCCCGAGGATTTCCTCGTGCTGCCACGCGTACGTCGCCGAGCACTCCTCGTGTCTGCCCCATATTCTGCGCAAGATCCACGTATCGAGTGTATCACCGCTCGGTGTGCGTCAGGGGGATGATCCTCGGCACCGTCACCCGACCATAGGATACACGGAAGTCGTCCTAAGCCATGCCATTCACCTCCTGGCCCGCCCCCGCTACTCCCAGATCGATTCAATATTTTGCAACGAGATCAAAAACCTCCGCCCGGCTTTGTATTCAATCTAAAACGGCGGCATTGTCCCGCCTCAAGTTTATTACGTTTTCTGCCGGCTCACCCGACAGATCCTTCCCCATCGAATTCCTCGCTGAAAGCTCCGCGGAAAGCTTTGATCTACCGATTATGCGGTTCCATCGACCTGATGCGAACGTAACTGAAACACTAGGCGCTGCCGATTATATCTGAACCAGTTTGAACGACGTTGAATTTCCTAGCAGGAAACACGAAACCTTTGGATCCCCGAACGGCCGGCGCGCTCCACGTTCGACCGCGCACAAACCCCAGTCGTTATCGGGCATTCTTCTTCACCGTTCACCAGCACTTCGTGGCAACACTTTACGTCTTCCTCGATCATCGCGACCGTTTGCTCCTGTCCGGCCGCACTGCTATTGGCGCGTGTGTCAGTCAATCGCGGGACGTCAAAGCGAGCGATTCAAATTCGATTGCCTGGCGAACGCGCGTCCGTGACATTCGCGCGCGTGAGAACGATCCGCGTATCGACGGGCGTAGCGTCGACGGTGGTAATGGACCCCTGCGACGCTGGGGATACCTGTGGATTCCGCGAGGACGATCGCCGATCGAATCGCGTCGTCGCCCTTCGTCGACCTCTAACCTACGGTGACCGGGACTGACCACGTTGGCCGATGTCGGTAGACGAGGGGTGGCATCGTCGCGACCCGCGGACGCACTCTCGTCCCTTCGGTGCGCTTGTTCGAATCACGCGAGACAGCACCACTTTTGAGCCACGTTGCCGAGCGAACGCCGAGCGACTGGCTGTCTGCTCGAGTTTCCACATAGCCATGAAGCTCGCGCGTCCGTGTGCGAAAGGGGGTGTGGGTGCCAAGCTGGAGGGGAGGTCGCCCGGCGCGTACCGCGTCTCCCTCGTCTCGCCCTTCTCTCTCGCACCCGCGTCCTCCCCGACGCTTATGCGCACACGCTGCTCTCACTACCCTTGATTCGCGACTCTCACCCTCTACCCGCCCATGTTTTTCTCCTTTCTGCCCGCTCCTTAACACTTCTTTTTGTCACGAAGAACTGTGAAATTCGCTGGATCGCTCGCTCTAATGGTACTATCGAACATTCTTTTTTCAATTGAGATAACGCGCCAGTTAGAAATTAGGATTAAATACTTTCGACCCGAGTCCTCAAAAAACACAGCTACTGCGAGGATAATTAAAACGGACTGAGTTACAGATAGGGAGATAACCTGTCCAGCTGACTTGCCCTCCAGGAGTTTAATGAACTTCTAATCCCGCTTGCACTAGCATTTGTTGCTGCTCACACATTGTACTAGCAAACAGTCTAATTGTTAACTCCTCTGTATGAATTACTTCAAAACATAATCGGTTTTGCAGCTAGAATGTTAATAACAATAATACTCTTCTAATTAGAACATTCAAACGTGCATGTAGAGTAATTTAAGTAGTACAACCAGGAACTTTGATGATGACTCATTTCGTGTAGTGCAAATATTCTCATTATTAAATCCTCTCTATGTATAAATTAAACATACTCGTTTTTACAATTAAAATATTAATAAGAAAAATATCTCTCTAATTAAAATGTGTTAATGTGCATATACAGTATTTTAAGTAGTATAACCAGGAAATTTCTCCGACAGTCGCTAAATAAAACTGGAGGGCTCTCAGCAGATTTCCATCCCCCGGTCGCTCATAACCGATAGCTTTAAGACATATTTCTGTGAGCGCGGAATCTGTGCCCGCGAAAGAGGACGGAAAAATTTATAGTTTCCAATTTTCCGTTTGTCCCCGAGTCCCCGAAGTGACGACGCTCCCCAAAGTCGAGACAATCTCTTGCTCGTGACACGCGGCGTGTCTAACTCGCGATGAAACGGAATACCTTCTGGAGGCACGTCGCGATCGATCATCATCCTGTTCGATACCGGTACGCTTTTAGCGACGGATCCCCGTTGAAAAAACAACCAAGCGACCCACTCGTTTGTCCCGTTGATCGACGAACGCCCAGGCACAGAGCAGAGCGAGGAAACGAGCGTTTCAAAAAGGAAACAACCTCCTACGTTATAAAATTTCATTCCGCGGAGGATGTAGGTTTTGTTTTATTCAGTCTGGCTGTCAGACGAGAATGTCTTCAGCCCTGAGACGTACAAAGTAGAAATATCTACTTTTGAATTCGCAATGACTCTAGGCCGGAAAGTGTGCAAAGAATAGAGAGAATACGGACACTGATAAATTCGGGCAGAGTGATAATTGTTCTGCCTCTCTCAACCACTTCGTTCTCGATTATTTAATTCAAAGTAAAAATGAATCAAGCGAAATATATGAAAAGCAACCTGGCTATGTTCATCACAAGCACTGTTGGGCTTTACTTGGAGTTTAAGATTTAATTTACGATTTTGCTTAAGCGCCTACAATTCCCTTATTCTTCTCTACTACGAATACAAACTGCAACGAATCGTCAATATTTAACGCGACTATTACTGTTTTTAATTCTTTACACGATACATTTTAATCACCGCGGTAAATCTTACAAATTACACAAGCGGCCACTTTCGGTATGAAATGTAGAAGCAAACACGTGGTCCACTGGGAAATTCACTATTTCATCTCGCATAAGCTTTCACTTTGATTGCAATCTACTACAATTTTACTCGTGTTATAGTAATTGACAAAGTTCTCTGTATCAATGCGCCGAGCTAGAAGCAAATAATGATTTCGTCAAAACATCGAGATTACATTTTGTAACGAGCGACCGATACATTCATATTTACGGAGTTCGTCTATGCGACGTTGAAACGCAATTAAAATTTATCGAATCGGATCAAAGTTCATGTGAATAGGGTCGTCAGTCCGCGAGAAAACTCGTCAAGCTGCGACTAGGGACAGGATGAAATAGTTCGTAAGTAGTTTCGAATTTTCACTGATTCGATTCGAACTATTAAAAATCACTAAGAATACTAGAATTTATTACTGAAAATTAATATGCAATAAAAAAACTGAACTACATTTTAAAAATATTCTACACACGACTTAAATTTCTGTGCAAGTCTCACGACTTTATCTACTTTCTATAAAAATATGTAATTGCAAAATTGTCTAGTTATGTAGATTTGAGGAAATAATATTTAGACTCGAGTTTCGATCGAAAAGATACTTAATTTCCTCGTAAATAAATGTCAGCCGCGTGTTCATCAGGAAGTCAGCCTGCGTTTTCGATCGCGAAACAGATCGACGTTTATTATTCCGCAATACAGATCGCCTTTAAACCGATAGCCGCGCCTTGCGTGCCGATGTTCATTTCTCGACTCCAATTAAAAAGACCGTTGCGTCGTTTACTCTGCCATAAGTATCGGAAAAATAATTAGGAACGTGCCAAGATTTGAACGAATCGGCGAAGAATCTCTTGGAAATGTTCAGTGGAAATCGGATATCGGTCGATCGTTCCTTAATTCATCTAAATCCGCCACGTGCTACCTTTCATTTCCAATTTCACGCGTTCTTCGTTAACCGATAATGGATATGCATATCCATGGGCAAATCGAAATCGAGCAGTGTGCCCATTGATATTTATACAGGGGATACCTGTGGCCATCGTGTTTATGGATAAATTCGTCTCAAACGAACAGCTTCGACGGCTCCGATCGGATGCATATTCATGGATTCCGACCTCGAGAAACGTTTGCGTAGAGAGAGAGAGAGAGAGAGGGAGGAACAGTGGAACCGAACTAGGGCCGGCTTGAAGAGAACTCACTCGCGGGTCAAACGGTTACATCGTTAACTATTGTCGTTTTCAACTACCCGCGCGTATGAACCGTCGATT